GTATACATTAAAACTATATAGTCCAAAATGAACCTATTTCCAGATAAAGACAATTCGTTATAGAAGGATATAAGAATACATTTTCGTTAGGTTTTTTGGTAACGCTGTCGATTTTTCCGGTTGTGTGCCAAAGTAAGACATAAAAAGTCAACTAATTCTAAACTAAAAAACTAAATTTTGTAGTGAACGTGTTAAAAAACGTACAAACTTTATATTCTACTCTCCATCTTCTTTATTAATCAATAAATAATTTTACCAGTATGTTTGTTTAGTTATCAAAATTAGGGTTGCCATTTGTTCTGATTTAGTTAGAACACTATCGGCTTTCAAGACAACGTGCCGGTATAATTTAAATCTTGGCTTGGATGTAAAAAAGTACTGGTTACTATTTTTAAGTCTATTTTTATTGTAACTATTAAATAATTATTAAAATAATATGTTCATTGTGTATTGGACTGTTTTTTTTTTCTTACCCTTATAAATGATACACAATACTGTGTGTATGATTTAGAGATTTATTAGCACAGGCTGTATAGTGTATACAATACATTACAACACATTTTTGTGTTTTTTAGTTTGTTTAAATTAAAACAAATTTGGAGGGGGGGGGGGAGTTAAAGGAATAAAAGGATTATCAATCGTCATGGTCCGGGTTATAAATTAAAATCAATGGCAACTCTAGACTAGATGAACTGATTTAATTTGTGGGCAATGGGGTGTTTTTTTTTTAAACAACTAAAAATTGCAAAATTTAAACGGCTGATAAACAAGTAACAAATGTTGTACTACATTTGGTGTTTAGAAATCTATTTTTGCCAGTTAAAATACTTTTGGACTATTAAACCGTAAAGCTGATTTGATCTTAATTAAACAACGGTATTTTTTCTATGATTGTTTTAAACGTGTATACCTATTACTGTTGTATTAAATCATAGTGTACCACTATAAAGATGATAAAACTATAACTTATATTATCATGGATTTAACATAAATGTGAAAAGCGATTTTTCAATTATTTATGCGATTTGGAGGAAAAAGCAAGTAATCAACAGACATTATGTTTGTTCAATCATTATGTTTAAATATTTTGTTACACCAGTTGATGTAGTCACCAGTTTGAGTGTAGTTAAATTGCAATACAAAGTTTAGATAATATAATGTGTAACACTAATTTGGGATTAGTGTGAAATGTACTGAATACCTATATTAAATACAGTAAATTGTAGCGGATAAAGAATCTTACCTTGCAACTAGTGTAGCGAACAATTTTTTTTTTATTATAAGTAGTTGGTCAATTTCGTTTTGTTTGCAACCGGTCTGTGGATTATAAAAATGTCAACTAATCCGGGAACTATAATAGTATAATATAAATGTGGCGGATGCATGGCTGCAGGTGCCACAGCTCACGCCACCTTGCTGTCACCATCGATGTGCTGTTATCGGAAACATCGATGGAAATTTAAACACCAATGACATCGGTGATGCTTTTATTTTACCTTCAAGCTACATCGGCAGTCCACGGATCATACAGGAGTACAATACACAAGATGCGATGACTTACATCAACGTCATTACGGTCGTCCAGATTTGTTTATTATAAATATTACGTTTACAATAATAAATAATATGTAATCCGTATTGGAAGGAAGTACAATCTTCGTAAAACTGTATTAAATTTAATTTTCTTACACTTATGAAAGAATTATGATCTACTAATTATTATTATTATACGAATATTCGATCGGAGTCTCCAATTTCTTTGCAAGAAAATGTTGATGAATTCATTGGTAGTCAATGTGCTGATAGTCTATCTTATTAGAGCAACGTATTTTCAGTTAAACACACCTAAGATCACATCATAATTTTTGTTACGTTAATAACAAATCGGACATTGTCTCCTTGTGATGTTTTTAATTTTGACTGGCTTTAAGAGTTTTTTGATAACGTGAATTTTACTAGAAACCTCTCCCCCGCCCTTATTTAGGCTTATGCCAAACTCTCACAGATGAAAAATTAAATGAACCTAAATGTTTGCACAGAAAATATATAAATAGCACCTAGTTTCTTAATTCTGTTTCAATTAACAAAAAAACTCTTATTTATTTTGTTATGTAATAAATTAAGTGATGTACGCTTTGTTTCATTTTCCCTAAATCTTCCCCAAAAATTAACTCTTCTCGGTTAAAATAAAACACAAATTATTTCTTTAAAATTAAAAACTTATACATAAAATATTTCAGTTATTTAGTATGAATGTTAATTAAATTTTATTGCATCGTCTAGTTGACCGCATGTAATAGGTTCACATAAAAGCGTTGTTTTGGATAAGTAGAAATGTACTGGTATGACTACCTATCAATTACTTTGTTAAAAACAAACATATTATAATCAAGAACTGGGTCACTCAGATTGAAGAACATACTTTAATATTATAACTATACTAAATGACCATATAACAATAGTTGCAATAGTTTCTCCTTTAAAATGAACACAAAAAATGAATATATTTTTAAACTAAAAATTACGGCACAATAACTTTTTTTAAAATTGTCAAATAAATTCCAAATTTGTATGGAATAATATTTAAAGAGATTATATATATTATACATATATACACGTATTATCAATGTACGTTGAAAAACCATAAACATATCAAAAGCTCTTTCCTCCAGAAGGGATGGGCATTTTTTCATTATTTAGCCTTTCTTAAGTGTAGTTGTTTTAGGGCTTTAGGTCTGCAAATTGTCAGAAGGTAGATCTAGATTGGGGCTATAACGCGTAACATTTATTTCAAATATATGTAGTTAAACTTTTGATTTAGGAAATAACCAGGAAAAAAGGGGAAATAACACTACAATCGTAGGCGGTCAATGTCTATATATTGTTTGTGAAACAACAGGTATCTGACAAATGTTTTCACTATATTGTTGATTACTATGTATTATGTGGGTAAAAACGAGAATAAGTGATAAGTGCAAAAAAAAAAGGCCAGACTACCGGTTACCGAGACATTTTTTTATCAACTATAAGAATCCAACGGGAGACATAATATCATATTAACAAAATAAAAAACCACCGTGACACGGTCGGGTATTGCCATCACCGCGGTCTGGACTATTACCCGGACCGCGATGACAATACCCGGCCGGGCCGTGCTTCCCTAATTGCCCATTAAGCAAAACCCCGGCGCAGCTTATCAGCAATGTTGACCGCCGCCGGTAACATAAATACGGCCGTCACCGGACCGCCGTGCATCAATAGTATTATTATTGTCGTGTAGTACTATAGCGTAATTGAATAAACGGTGACTAACGTAAACAAGTGTTGTTATTTTAATTATTACTAAGGGTTTAATTACTCCGAACGTCTACGGCCACGACAACCGCAAGGTAGATTACTGTGTATACGGCACAATGATCGTATATGGTGTATTAATAAAAATACAACCGTCGTGATACACCCTATATATATAAAAAAAATCCGTCTTTTTTAAAAACAGTGTGACGATGATAGATAGTGTACGGCAACGGCGAATATTTTTCACTTATTAGGGTACAAAGCTATTGGGTGTGGCCTAAATATCCCCGGGCTTGGTCGGCGCAGGGATTTTGACCAGGAACCTGGGGATCAATAAATGGGAAAACGCTGTCAGCGCGGCAGCTGCAGCTCCCCTTCCGGCCTTACCGACCCTTGTTATATTGTATTGTGTGCCAGCTCCAAACGTTAATTCTTCAGTAAGCAAATGCTTTGAGCCCCGGCCGGCTGTCTAAAATACACCGTTTCGGCACAGTAATTCGGATTTTATTCGGTAAATTCGGTAAAATAAAATAAATTTAAAAGAAACTCCAATCGAGTAGTGTTTTTCTACGCGTTTTAATTACAACGGTGCATACAATGTTGGACCCCGAGCTTAATAAATTCGTGCAAACCGTGAAAACGCTAACGCAAAATAGTAAGTATATATTAACCGAGTTGGTTATTACTTACTTATATGCAACGAAACGTATCAAAGATTTCCATTTGAATATTTTTTTATGCCTATCATTATTAATATGTTATTATCTCATAAAATAAAATACTCACTAAACGTGGTAAAGTTAATTGTTATTAATTAAATGTTAATACTATTAAATTACCATAATTATTTTCTCACTAACTTAGTAGTATTTCACGCTTGGATTCTCATAAATGGCACATATATTTACTTCTAGTTTTAATAATTAGGGATGGGCTTGCGATACAATTATATCGATAATATCAATATCGACACTATCGTAAAGTACAAATATAAGAATATATCGACATATTTGGCCCACCCTTAGTTTTAACGCGTGATATCCAAACTAAATTTATTAGTTACATTAAATCAGTGGCGGTTTTCCCGGGGAGGCAAGGGAGGCGGTGCCTCCCTTGAAAATTAAGGAAACTATGTACTTAATATTGTTATTATTATGAGATATTTTGGTTTACAGTAAATATTTTCAATCGAAAAATGTATATAAACGATAATTGTTTTTGAAAGCGAAAAAAAAATTTAAGAATTTAAAATAACGTCTCTCCGTATCAGCGGTGACCGTCTGGCCGGCCGCTGCCTGTTGTTACACACGTAGCATAAGGGCAGCCGGCTGAGGCGGCTGCCGCTAATATCTCACGTTATCTTGTTGTGTTCACAACATACACACACACACACATATATAAAATAATACGAACAGCGCATGCGCAGTTCTCTGCGAGAGGCGACACAAAAATATTGCCTTTGTGGGCAACTGACCGATGATCGTGTTTATCTTGGGGAAGAAATGGGGCATAGACATTCAGCATGTACATCAGCACCGACACTGCCAACAACAAAACGCCATTTCCCATTATCACTAAATCATTTATCAGCAGTCGCAATTTGATATCACTATATTTTTTACTTAATTCTGATACCGGTTTACTATTTGGCGTTTTATTTAGTTTTCTTAAGTTATTAGTTAATATATTATTATACTTATTAGCTTTATTATTTTTTTTTTCAAAATGAATCCTGTATATGTCAGTATAGTGGTTATGAAGCAACATCCATACAGAAAATCGTTTGCGATTACAATTTCATCTTTTGTAAATTGTATTTACATATGTTTTTATGATTATACATTTATCTTAAGTTCAAACATTTTAATGATAATTATTTTACTAGATGACCGGTAATGCGATTATAACTAATAACTAAGATAATAAGCAAAAGTCTTCTGTTACAGTTAAAAAAAGGAAGTATACCAGTATGAAGAAATTTTAAGTGTTGGGGTTTTGCGCTTTTTTTATCAATGAGGGTACAAAGTTGTTGCCTCCTCGACAATTTAATGCCAGAACCGCCACTGCATTAAATACATTTTTAAAAATATTTTTCTCACTCTTTTATATTTTTTTTATAAGAAATAAAACGATTCATGCAGAAATGGGTTGACAAACAGTAATTACTACTGTTTTTTAAGTAAATAGAAAATAAATCAATTTGTCACACAATTTTGTTTTGGTATGTACTTATTTCGTTTATCAAATATTATATTTTTGTTCTTTTATTCTAGTTCTTAAAATATAATGTATCGTGTACCTATCCTATGTTTAAATGATTTTATTCAATAAATATTCTATGAAAATAGTTGACCATATGACATGAGTAGAACGCTCCATCAATTTCAATTTGTGATTACAATGTTAAATGAATAAAAAAAAAAGTTAATACGATCTGGTTAAAATGAACAATAAAAAAAAGGGCGTGAGGAACAAAGCCTCCCTTGTTAAAGTGTAAAATGTAGTATAATATAATTAAGTGCACAGTTGGTTTCCCAAATCCTTTGTTAATGTACTGAGAACTGAAAATACCAACAAATTTTACCTGACCGTTTTACATTGATAACAAATTACAATTATACTGCATCAACTTTATTCGTCTTTAATTGTGTTGTATCTATAAAATAAAATCCATCGAGAGCTTGAATGCAAATAAAAATGAAATTGTAAAAATATAAATAACATATTGTGTTTTCTTATAATTGTTTCTTAGCTGGCAACGGTCGAGAACTAATGGTTTATCTTGATGAACAAAAGTACTTCCTCGAGGGCTTCGTGTCCCGCATGGACGGCGTATTAGCAGCTCTCGACATAAACGAACATCGGCTTGCAATTCTGATGGTTTTAAATGTTGACGCTTCGACTCAGCCAACTAGTGTACCAGTTGACTTGCACTTCGTGACAGTTGCATCACGAATAAATCATTTTGTTTCTGTTGTCAGAGCTGATGTATTTCATTCCTGCTCCAAAACATGTAAGTATTTTTAGCGCTGTCAAAGTTGTTAGTCAAAACTAATTTGTTTTTTTTTTTTTAGTGGCCAGCGTAGTGCAAGTTTTGTTAAGAAATCTACACAAAGTGAAAAAAACAATGATGATGATACCTACTATTCAACGCGCCATTGATAAACTGCAGACAAAACCTCACCAATTGACTCATTTCCATTACTTGCTATGTGAAGCATGCATAATGTCTTATAATCTTAAGGCTTCGCTGAAAGTCTTAGATCAGGAAGTTTATTTTTTAAACTCCGATGAAGTAAGTCACCTGGTTTTTGGGAACGGAAATCGCTAGTTATTAAGGGGCAAAAATATTTCTTGTTATAGAACTTTTAAAATTGTTTTTCTTTAAGTTATGGCGAATGTATGACACAATGAAGTAATTTTCTAGCGTATCATTTATAATTGGATGAATTTTTTTATTTTTCCTAAGACCTAAAAAAAACTTGTCAATTTTTTTTCCATTTCAACCTTTAATATTAACATTGTTCGAAAATGATGAGTAGACAGTGCCGTAACAAGGGGTAGGCGAGAAGGGCAGTCGACCAAGATTACCCCTTTTTGGAAGGGGGCAGAGTCAAAGTCACATATTTCTTTTTTTTTTTAATTTATAAATACATTTTTTTTTAATGTATATTAATTATATAGGTATTATATCTAAATAATATATTTAGATATTTAAAATGGAAATATACAAAATGTATTTTATTAGAGGAAGCCGAGGTTGTTAATTGAATAAATACTAATTCGGAAAGTTATATCAGAAGACAAACTCAATTAAAGGAGGATACAAAAACATGAATAGTTGATGATGGTTCTTTAGTGATAGAAGAAGACAGAATATTGAAAAAATGGTAATAGTATTTTGGATTGTTGCTTAATGGCGAAAACCCAGTTGAGACATTTGCATGGACGCCAACAGAACCTGATGACATAGACAGTCCACCCCCAAGCAAAGAGAAAATATTATAAGCTTAATATAAGCTTTGATATTCAAACCAACAAATAGAGAGAACTGCATAATTATGAACTCCAAATGCAGTTTCAAAAGCCTGATATAGTTGAAGAGATCACAAAAAAAAGACTAATGTGGGCGCCTGGCATAAGCAAGGATCCTTAGTTAGACAGGTATTAGAAGAAGATCCTATAGGCAGGCCAAGATAAAGATGGGAAGACTGTGTGAAGAAGGACATCAAAACGTTACGATAACGGTGGTTGTGACTTCCAGATACTTTCTGCGTTCACTGACAACATTTATTTAAATATAATTCACTATTATAAATTGGATTGAACTCAGATACGTTAAATAAAAGAAAAGTGTTATAATATCATGTCGATTACTTATATATTTTAGAATTTTCCGTTTTATACTATATCAATTCAATTATTTTTGTTTTCCTAAAAAAAGAAGAAGTATTTTTTTGCCAAGGAAGGTAAAAATTTTTGTTATGACACTGTGTACAACCTGTGGGAATGCATTTTGTTTGTTAATGTGTTCTGTATATTAATATTATGTTTTTTTTGTCCTACAGCCTAAAATTATATTTGAACCAAAATACTTTTTGAACTACTACTTTTCGGGCGGTCTCATATACACAGCGATGAAAAACTATGACAGAGCAATTACTCTATTCGAAATTGTTTTCATGACAACATTTCCTGTAGTTTCGCCAATCACGATTGATTCCTATAAGAAATTCATTTTACTTGTCCTCATACACTTCGGATCGGTACCAACATACTGTAACGTTGATCCCACAATCCTCGGTGAATTGTATGGACCAACGTGTCAACCGTACTTAGATTTGGTACCACTTTATCAAAGTGGAAATTTAACAGGAGTCCACGCGACAATTGCTAAACACCAAGATATTTATGTAAGGTAAAACATAATTATCATACATTTACATTAACATCTGGTATCTATTTGGACTGTTTTGCTTAATATTTCAATGTTTATTATGGTTCACGATCAATTTTTTTTTTCAAGGGATAAAAATTTTGGATTGGTGAAACAACTATTGAAATCTTTGAACCAGGCCAACTTGCTACGACTGGCCAACTTGTTCTCGACCATGACCCTAGCCGATTTGGCCGAACAACTCAACCTTAAAACGGCAAAAGATGCGGTAAACTATCTCTTGACAATGGTAAATTTGAGATCGTCCACACATACTGCTGTAGTTTTACGCTAAAGTATAATATAACATTTTTTTTTTAGAGAAAATCAAACGTGCTACACTACAAAATCGATGAAAAAAAAGGTATCGCTACTTCCAACATCAACGTTGACTATAGTTATGAACACCCAGACGTTCTTATCGGTATCATAAAAGAAGTAAATATGGATAATAATTTATCGAACTGTCTACTACTATCTGTTCACTTGTCAATTTTATATTCAATATGTATATTTATTTTAGATTGAGCATAAAATCGAAGTATCTAAAATACTGCAATCAGCCGAAGAAAACGTCAAGACTTATATTCCGCAAGCGCCAATTGTACAATCCCAGGCTGGGCCTAGTGGTGTGCTATTTAACCAGCGACAATTACCGCCAAGGGCAAGCAACATTGATATTTTTTCGACATCGTTGCTTATGGAATGTGAACTGGAAAAAATCGAAGAAATGTCCGAGTAACTTTGAATTCTATTATGTTAATAAGAGTGTAAGTTAGTAAAATTGAAGTATAGCTTCATATAAATAACATTATTGATAACATTGTTTAACAATAAAACCATTTTAGAAATTAAGAGGTAAAACCAGCGGTGGTAAAAGTGTCTGTGGTCAGTAGTGTTGAATGACAATAATTCTAACCTGACTGTAAAAACACATTGAGAATAGAATTTCCGTTCTCTTGTAAAATTGTACATGTATAAGTCAATTGTACCCGTTTGATTACCACCGCTTTAAGTCATAAAATCTTCTAGTCGCGTTTACGCAATTACTTATTATAAAAATGCATAATGTTAAGTTTTATTTACACAATACATTTTTCTAACAATTAAATGTGTAGGAAACCTTAGCGTTACATAACTTAAATAACGAAATGTTATTAAAAATAACGATTTTTTTTTTAAATCAATTTTATTAAATGTAAAAATTAAATTCGTATTTAAAGTACTTTTATTTACTGTATCAAATAATATAGTTTTGTTAATAATATTTTATTTGACTACTTCATTAATAATCTGTTGTTTTCAGTTCAAATTTATTTAATTTATTTGATATTTAAATGTGTGCCAAAATGTATTTGAAATTATTATTTGGACATTTTTGTTAATAAAATTAATATTGTATTTAAATAATGCCTATGTCTTTACGCAATATGTAGCGATATAAATTTAATTTAAGCTATTTATATACAAAATCTGTTTTTTTTTTTTATAATTAAGTATACATAGGAGTGAAAATAAATATTAATTAAATATAAATATATATATCAAAGAAACAAATAATTTTTTCTGTTCATATAAGTTTATTTAACACTGGTTAGAACTTTTCTTTTCAAATTGATAATTATTGCTTAAATTTTGAGATGTATTACAATATCAGTAAATGCAACAGTTCTTTACAAGTTTCAACCAATTTTACAAACGAGTACTTAAAATTAAACTTAACATGTAGTGTGCAATCCATGATATAAAATGATTTTTTTAAAGTAAATGAAACAATACGAAATTAAAACAATAAATAACAAAGCATAATTTATAAGTGTTATTAATTTTACGTACAATGTATTGTTATAAAAATGTCAAATAAAATAAGTAAAACGTATGTTATCTGTATAAGGAGTTAATGTTTAAAAACTATAAAAACTGGCATAAAAGTTTAACTATAAATTGTTTTATAATATATGAAAATAATAAAACCCGTTTAATTTAGTATTAAAATTAAAGTAGAGAATAATTTTAATTTTGTTTTTTCATGATGTGAAACATCTGTTTAAAATTTAAATTAATGCGTTTAAAAATTAAGATTCGTTTCACATGTCCCATATTTTAGAAATTAAAAACTCATGATAGCATCACAAAATGTTTTCAGTTTTTTGTTTACAAAAATAAGCAAGATATTATTCACTGCTTTTTAAAATAGAAATAGCTGCATTTGCAGAATACATTATGTTTAAAAAATATAGCAAATTACCATAACTAGCCCAATATTATTAAGAACAAAATTCAACACATTTGAATGAACAAAATGAGTGAAATTCCATCCCTAGTTCCCTTTTAAAATAATATTTGTGAATTAAATATAAATTTTAATGTACAAACAATATTATTAATTTTTAATTCTAGGGGGCATTTAGACATAATTTTGATTTTTATAATCTGTGATTAACCAGTCAAAGTTGAAAGAGTAGACAATGTTTCATGTCTGGTCTTTGCAATACCCGATTTCAACAATAGAGTAATTAGGTTTATTCATTATGGCGTGGTTCCGCTTTTGTTCTTACAGTTTGGTTGGCCTGCGGTCGGTATGCGGTTTGACAACGATATAGCGTAGTGTTTACAAGAGTGGCTTCTAAATACTGAACAAATATTTATAAATTAACCATGGAAAACAGAATTAATGCATTCCATTAACAATATTGTATTTTCGAATCAAGTTTGTTTTTTAAGTTTAACGATATTAAAAGCATAAATAGCATTTAAAGTGTTGTTACAAACACTTATACAGTAAGTGAAATTCAATGGCAGTATGGTTTTATGAATGTTAGTATATTTTTTTTTCAAATATTCCCTTAGGTACTCTTTTTGCTTTAAATTTTGTATAATGGTACCTTAATTGTTTTAGCACCGTTACTTTTATCAACAAAAACTTGTAACTCATGTAGAGCTTTCAACGTAAATAATATTATCATCGTAAGACTGTAAAACATTTTGAGTTTTGCCAATCGCCAGGAAATACACATACGTTTACTGCTACCCATTGAAATAATGTATGTAATTTAAACAAAGCACAGAAGTTTATAAAATTATTTTGTTTCGTAATAACAATCGACCGTATCTCTGTTACACCAGCGTAACCAGTAACTACTTGGTTAATACATATCGAACAAATTCGCTATTTTACTCGCTTAAATATAATTACGGCGACAAACATAATAGGGTCAGATATCAATTCTTTATTTTATTTTTTTATCGTTTAAACAACAAGTACGTTTTAAACCGTTTTTTATTAAAAAAAAAAAAATACGACTATGACCAACAAAGTAACACAACGCGTTATACAGACCAAGTCAATAACATTCATAAATATCGACAACTCCAATAGAAAGAAATCGAATATTTTGCTCTAGTCGTGTTTACAATTATGTAATAGGTTAATTATGTATAATATTAAGCAGAGTGAAGCAAGACTGTCCGTTAATCGGAGCTTTGCAATAAACCATTAGCGGTACAACTCATTGTGTATAAAGGCGTATACTCATAATTAATAAACGATTACGGTCAGGCATAAGTATGTAAATTTAAAAACATATCAAAATACGCTGCAGCCATCGACGCCATAACCAACGAACACGTTTTTATTCGCCGTCGGCATAAAATGTTTCTCCTATAACAACGACAATACTGCGATTAGCAACAATCTACACTACGTTTTTCGATTTAATCGAACAAATCGTCAAACCGAAAACCTCTTCGTTAACACACAGACGACAACGCAGAATAACAATTATTATTTTGAGCAACATAAAAACTAAACCGACGCCAACGGGCCAGAGAATTGAGAAATTACTACACTTTAGAGTAGGGTAAGTAAACTCGTCGCTGCGACTTTGTCACGGCGACATTACTGTCACTAGTAGTCACTGCGACACTTGGGTAAAATATATGGTGACCAGTGATTAAAGTAGTAAAACATATATTTACAAAAAAAAAACAAAAATTGTGGCGCCCGTGGCGACACTGCCAGTGGTGACTCCACTGAGTTGGGGGTAGTTCTTCCAAAAAATGATAACGCGTAATAAGAAATAAATGTTACATAACCTATGAAATGTGTAATACTACAGATAGTACCAACATAGATTTCACCAAAAACCCGCCAAGAGAAATTTCGTATTTTAATATCAAAAACATTGCCTTCAGTTAGGTTCTTATCTTTATTGCAAATTGTAGTTAGATCTTTATCAATTATCTAATTTAAATCGTATACACTATACACGTAAAATTCATAATAAATTACATTATATTTTAGTATACAGGGTGATCCTGTTGTAATAATATACATAAATATAGTATCAGAGTGCGAGTAGTAGTAGATGATAATCAAGTATTTAACACAAATAGAGTTATTACAATAATAGATATATTATACATAGAATATATACAACACAGTGAAACAATAATACACTAGTAATATGTATAAACTGAATAGAAATACTGAGCCCCGAGCCCTTAGATCAAATGCTATTTATATTAACCCACAAGGTTGCACGCGTCTACACATACACGTGTGCTTACAAAAACAACTTTGTTTTTCAATAACATTTCCTGGTTAACAACTACGTATTTTTATTATACAGATAAACAACATATTTATATATTGTGAAATACTTCTTGATTTATAGAATATTAATTATTATTCCAACAGATCCAACTAACGTAAGACACTCATTTTCTCTGAAAGTATGAATATTTTGCGAATTTTTTTTTCCCTAAAATTTTAGGTACATATTTAGCTACATTTTTCAATATTTAGAAAAATTTTATCTTCAACCCTTATACGTTAAATAAGTACGAACCTCGTTTTTTCAAATGGGAACATATGTTTTAAATTCCATAAATATAAAGACAAAAAATCTAAAAAAATGTTAGCGTTTGAATTTTTAATTTTCATCCATTTGTTCGCTGTTTATGACTTTGTAAAGATTTGAATTTTTGTCTATATTTCTTAATAATTTCATTCGATTCGACAAAGACAAGTAGTTTTATTACGACGGTCATCACATCAAATATAATAATAATTTGATGTTAACGCATTCCGTATCATAATCAGATATAATAAATAACCATACATTATTAGACGAAAGGTAGACTGTTACGGATAACGGACTTTACACTTTAACCTAATCTAGCTGGAGCTAGTCATTAGCTGGTTATCTCGGATAACAATCTAGTATCTAAACTATGCATCAGTTACCACGGAATAATCGAGTGACCAGTACCCATAATATATTTTATTATTTGTACAAAATCGCATTATATTTATTATTTGTACATAACCTCATCGCTAACAAATTTCGACTTCGAAGTTCACACGTTTTCCATTAGTGAAATGAGAAATTGCAAACTTAAATAAAAAATGTTAGTAAATTTACATTTTACTTTATAGTAAATATGATAGCATGCTTATTGTAGTTATGTCATAACTCGTTATTTTATAATTTTTTAAATATATCAATTGATAATATTTGCTCTCGACTTTATTTTGACGTTACATTCTTGGACACATCATTAATTTAATAGGTAAGTGTATTAAAGTTTAATAGATAATTTAATACAATACGAATTCAATTAGCTTTTTTATTTTAGGTTGAATGCTTTTTTACTGAAAATATTTCATCTTTTAAAAACCAATGTTATCATGTAAAATTGGTTTTGAGTATGACATATCAATTGCTATGGAAATGTCTTTCCAATCGGACCCAAGACCTTACAATTTTATATCAAGGTGTTAATTATAAATATAAAGCATTAATTCAATAGGTAAGTTTATTAGAGTTTAATGGGTAATTTAATACAATACGATTTCAATTAGCTTTTTTAATTTAGGTTGAATGCTTTTTTACTGAAAATATTTCATCTTTTAAAAACTAATGTTATCATGTAAAATTGGTTTTGAGTATGACATATCAATTGCTATGGAAATGTCTTTCCAATCGGACCCAAGACCTTACAATTATATATCAAGGTGTAAATTATAAGTATAAAACATTTATTTCTAATGTGACATTTTTTCATGTGAATGTATAATATCAACACTAAGTAATTTGAATGAAAAGTGTGTTGTGTTAACTTAAAATAATTATTAATGCATGTATTTGTGTATGTGGGTTGATAATACTCATATACCCGTTTCATTTATTTTTAAAAAATATCAGTAATTAATGTATGAATTTCATACTACTACATACAAGGAATCACTTCTTGATTATACCAATATTTATAATAATATGTAAGTATATTATTTTTATTTGATTAAACTTATCTAAGGTAGTTCAAATGTCTGCTTTCA